ATATATATATATATATATATATATATATATATTTATATATATGTTTTAGTTGCAGACTCTTGTTGAGTTATGTGGTTCTTCTGCTGTATTATCAAATGTTTTTTTCCCAGTTGTATTCAGCTGTAATTAGTTATTTTGTGTGTTAATAGTTAAACACCATGATTGTTGGCAGGGAGTGCAGAGAAGAGACGGATTATTTAACTGACCAGTTCTAATGAGCCGACGGTGGTTTGTTTGAGTGAAATGGTTCATGCATGTAAAGGCTGTTCACACCTGTTTAACACTGTTTAAATACAATTTGAAGGCTCTGATTGGAATTTCAGTGCCAGGTGTGAACTGCGTCAAAAAGACTTTCTCTCCAGACAGATTCAAAAGAGTCTTTGCAGTGTTTCATTAGAAATTAATACTTCTTTAGTAGGTGACCACTTCCAAACTCAAGGTACAGATTATAAAATAGGACTTTCTTTGTTATTTTTCTTCACTTCCAGTCTAAAACAGAAAGTTGGAACCTCCCATTTAATGACCATCTCCACACCAACACAAAATATAAATAGTTAAAAAGCTACTTTGTCCATTTTTTATAAAACAGTTACAAAAATTCATATAAGGACATTTCTGGAAGATTTCCTGTTTTACAAACATTTAATAAAGCTTCCCAAGCAAGACCCGGCAGGCCTTAAGACAAATATTTCACAAGTTGAAACACACACACCCTGCACATCACACAGCTCTGTCTGAAGAGGGAACGCCTGACGAAGAGGGAACAGCATGTACGATCAACAATGATCCACGCTGCAACTGTACAGGACTGATCTAATGTTTTCATTTCTTATAGTAAAAATATATATCTCTATACATACATCTCTCCTAACACCAAACAATGATGCACAACTGACACACCTTAAAACCTGTCATGTTTGTGAAAAAGACATCTCATTTCACTGAAGCATGAACACAGAATGCAGCTTTACCTGAAACGAAACTGTATGAGGAACAAGTTGCCTGGACCTGTAGGCCCGAGTGATCTGACTGACGTTACTTCAATCCAACAAAAGGTTCAAGACAAAAAGGCAGTGAGAATCCACCGTCACCCCTCCTTCACACTAGTCCTTAGCACCGGTACACCTCAGGGCTGTGTCCTGAGTCCACTCGTGTACTCTCTATTCACGCATGACTGTACCGCCAGGCACAGCTCAATTCAAAAATACTTTATTAATCCCAGAGGGAAATTATTTGTTGTTGTAACTCGTTATCCTCATTTCATTAATAGATGTTATAGATGCTGATGCTGTAAACAGGAAGGATCTCTTGTAAAGGTCCATCCCACAGCGGATCCTAAGAAACTGGCTGCAGATACCGTCCGATCCGTCCATCCAGACTCAGCTGGCCTCTCGGTTCCCCCGGGCTGTTGGACCGCCCGAATGCCGGGCAGAAGATATGATATGCAGATATAATGTAAGATACAGATAAGATATGCAGAGATATATATATATATATATACACACACACACATACACACATACTTTAGGGATGGGGCTGATCCGGTATCAGCATAATTTACGTATCAGTTTTTTCCGATCCATGATGCACGTTGGCTTCAAACTATAGAATAGATTTCCTGAACGGAGACGTGTCTCATGAACCCAGAGTAATAAGACCCGCCTCACATTCAGGAAATCCACTTCATAGTTTGCAGCAGCTACAACGTGAGGACTACACTTTTATTTAGAAATTCCCAAGGCATGTCTGCGTCACCATTTCCGTG